CTATAATATTTTGTATATGTTGAATGTCCTATGTATCCTATAATATCCAGAGCGGATCTCAGTGTGGATGTAGTGGAGCAAGTAAGCAAAGTCTAGGAAGGATTTAGACACTCTTCAACCCAATCATGACCAAACACACAGCAATACTCACATCTTTCTTACAAACAGCAGCACTTTAGAGACATGGATGGATTACTGACTGGGCCTATCGGGGCCCACGCTGTCAATGTAGCACAAAACCAAAACATTGGCCTTAATTAATCTTAGCAGACACAAATGTTTGTCCCTTTTAGTCAGAGTGTCTTGTTCCTATAGAAAGGGTGGCCTTACATATCTGTGCCCAGGGGCGCATTGTCTCATTACTCGTCCATGTTTAGTGGTGTTGTCATTTACCAGCAAAATATCACTGAAATAGGTATAAAACAACCCCCCTGTACTTCCAACAGCTAATAATATGTTAACGCTGCTGACTTACTCACCATGACTTTATCTGCATGCTGATTATGAAGTTTAATTTGGTGTGGATCATGTCAGGATGTTTGCATGAAATAAAACTGACGTGGTTATCTACACACAAGTCTTACTCAGTGGTGTGAGTAAACGTACAGTGGAGTAAAAAAATAAATGGCAGCCATCAGGTTAATGAGCACTAGCCCTTAATTGAGTTTCTCTCTACAGAGTCGTCGTCTCTTCTCAGCATTTGGTGTTTAGTGTATTGTGAGTTAGGCACCTGAAACCTGATTACAAAAGTTTACTTCCTCCTTTTTGGCACCCCTTCAGCTGGTAGCGAGCTAGGCAACCTTCTAGGCCTAAAAGTGATGACAGCTTCTATCATTAAGATGAGTCTACTCCTCTCTAAAATACTTTAAGCAGCTTCTCAAACCTGAAGATGACACACTGGCAAAATTTGTTTCAGATATGTTATTTTAGCCTAGCACTAGTTACAGGATATCAGAATAAGTGAGTCAATGAGAAGTCTAATGACAACAATCTAATGAAGGAGACACATAATGTTAACTTTGGCCAGTGAAGACGTCCAGCCCAAAGTAATAAAGGAATGAAACAGACTAAAGGAAGCAGTGCTGAAAGTGAGAGGTTATTTCTTTGTTTTGTGTGAACACAATACAGTCATGCCTATTCCTTTAAAAGTTGGGTAACAATGCTCACATATCTCATTAAAATACACAAAAGCTTTGTTTAGTCAGCATATTCAGTTTCATTTCATAGTCCCAGACTTTTGTGAGGATCAATATGCAGTAATGATACGTAAAATCCTTGACTTGACACTTATGATGCTAATAAACTACATTCACATTACGTACATACTGCCACAAACAATACACATAAAAGTAAAGCAATTAATGTTAATATTATTAATATAATTAGTATTATTAGTATTTCCTCTTCTCTGCACATACCTGGTTCTTGTAGGTCGTTGCTGCACTTCACTATTTTGGATGCCGATATCTCACTGACAATATTATAACTTGTGCAGGTGAATTTGGTG